ATAGAATGAAGCAGACTGATGAAAAAGGGGTCCCTATGTCCTCTAGCAGTCTAAGCCTATAGCAGCATAACTATAGAGATACCTCAGGATAACCTGAGCCCCTCTAACTATAAGCTTTATCATAAGGAAAGTTTTAAGCCTAGCCTTAAAAAACAGGGTGTCTGCCTCACAGACTAAAACTGGTAGTTGGTTCCACAGGAGAGGAGCCTGATAACTAAAAGATCTGCCTCCCATTCTATTTTTAGAAATTCTAGGAACCACTAGTAAACCTGCAAAGTGCTCTGTTAGGAACATAAGGAACAAAATAAAAAGTAATAATGAATCGTTTCAAATTCCGTAAAAGTTCAAAAAATATCCACTGGACTTGGTTTCCAAGATTTGAAGACGTTTCTCCACCTCTCCAGGAAGCTTTCTCAATTCAAATGTCTGGATCCGCAGTGAGTTTGAGTCTTTATATAGACAAAGCCTTGTATTGTTTTGAAACATGAAAATGGTAACCGACGAGTGGGTGGTTTGGTTCCATTGTTAGCCTGTAATACCTGAAACCTGTCTATGATTGTTAAGGGTCGTCGTTAAGGAGGTATTGTGATGGGGTGGGGGGTGTGGTGACATATTTTTTGAACTTTTATGGAATGACTATGACCTGGATGACTGAGAATCTTCATCAGCAATCGTATCAAAGTCACAAGGTCTGAGTCTTGATGAAAGTTTTAGCTTTAGTTTAATGCTGATTTGGATTTTGGACATCCTGGACCTGCCTGTTCTGGCCCCCAGTGAAGCTTAATCGGTCTGCATGGTGCGATGAGAGCTGCTCGGTTGGATTGCCTCGATGGGTAAACAGGTCTGACTGACAGGATGTTAGACGTGTGAAACCTGTTCGTGGTTAAGATGAATGGCGGATGGAGGGGATGGAGGGTGCTGAGGTGTGATGTTCTGTGAATGTGTCCAGCAGGGATGGCTGAAGCTGTGAAGCTCAGCACTCCATGACCAGTGTGTCGCTCCCCCCCCTCCCCCACCAAATCAAGCAGGTAGCAGAGCTGCTCTGACATTTCCCTCAGTGTCAGGCTTCCCTCTCTTATCCAAACAGAAAACAACTAAACTCCAGCACCGATACAACCAGCAGGAAGACAAACACAGATGTGTTTCCAGGCTGCAAACTGCCAGCTCTGACATTTTGCTTTTTAGCAATCCTGACTTTGTGAGGTGGGAGGGACAAAGTAGCTGAAATGAAAACAGTATGAGGGCAGTGTTTAGATTTGTCCCACAGACTGCTGACACCATCATTCTAATCCTGTCCATTAAACATGAGAAACCTCAAAGAGGCGGCCTCTGTCCTCTGCTTACATTCAGAGGATCCAGAAAAATTCAAACACATGTGAACCGCCTCCATGTTTAGGCTAAAATGGCCGAACACCAACCGGCAGCAATTGATTTAATCTGCCTTAGTGAAACCACATGGTGGTGTTTACACTCAGCGTAACCCTGTGGATGTAAATACCTGTGTATGAGTGTGTGTGGGGGGGGGAGGCGCTGCAGAGCTCTGTTGCTGCAAAGCCAAAGAGTGTATGCATTTATGTCAGCATGATGGAGGAGGAGGGAGTTACTCAGACCTAATGAATCCATCTGCATTCAGGGGGCATTCTGCCTGTGGTACACAGACAGGAGCAAACGAGCAGCGACCAGGGAGTCCGTCCAGCCACTGGAGGGATGGACACCCTGGCAAGGACAGCACAGATAACCCAACTGGCCTCAAAATGAGGGCCTCATTCAAAGATGGGCTAAAAGCAAAGAGCGTCACACTCAGCCTTTACTATGTTCAACAAATTCCCCTCTGAGGACGCGGTTTGAGGCTACAGCACAGCCTGTTCTCCAGGAGAATGGCAGCTGTTGATGGCTTCACCCCCGAGTGACCTGGCACCCTGATGGAGGACAGGAGGCGGGGGTTTCAGGAAGGGGAAGGTTTGTGAGCTGTGCCCTGTCATTAGGCTAACGAGCCCAGAGCCGAGCGGTGTTTGGGAGACCTCTAGTGGGTGAAGATCTACACTGAACCCGATCTTCTTAAATCAATTAAAGCTCGAGACTTCATGACTATTTCAGCTGAAAAAAGTCCAAAACATTGATGCTTCATTTACTTTATCCTCTGAAGAACACAGATAATATCTCAGAACAGAGAACTTTAATGAATCAAACAGAATCTACAGCAAAGTAGAGTTTGAAGCCAAACTAAACATCATTTAACCTGTGAGAACTATTTTCTTGTAACGTTCTTTTACTTGCTGTTTTATGGTTATAATTTATATTATTATATATAATATTATAGTTTAATGCCAAAGTTATTAACAGATGGCTCCACTAAATGCAGAAGCTACCAGGATGGAAGCAAAGGATCTACATCAGGTCTGTTTTATCTTTGAGATCAGAAGCCTTAGATTTGAGAGTCACACTTCAGTGGTCAAAAACGTGTTTAAACGTCTCACCATCATGTTGAAATCTGGGATGTGTATAAATAAGGTCAGTCAGTCTGGTATCATGTTGGTTTAGGAGGAATTTTTCACACCACTACATCTGCAAAGAGACGTCCTAGTCCACTAAAGCATAGGGGCCAAAGAGGTCGGGGGCCCCTAAGCAACTGCAGTCTCTGCTTACGCCATTGGATATGAACATACAAAGGTTTAAAAAAGTAGATTTCAGGTTTAAGAGATCCCGAAACCAAACATGTATCATGTAAATTTAACTTTTTAGCTCATGGTTATTAGTTATAAGGTTTGATAGAACCTCCCTGTTATGTAACTTTGTTAAATGTGTGTTTCTTTGTATTTGTTTCCATTTTTATTTAGTTTTTTTTTTGCGTTATTGCATTGTCTTTTTTTCCCCAATGTTTCTTTGGGAAATAGAATTTACCTGATGTTTTAATAATGAAACCTTAACTTTTAAATATTAAAATTGGTCGTAGAATATTCTGATTTGTAAAATATGCTTCCTTGGGAATCAATAATGATAGAAAAACTTTTAAAAATAAAATCAGATATTAAAAATAAGCTAAAGTCTTTTTCATTTGCTAATTTTGTTCTTAATGCTTTTTGATTTCATTCCAACTTGAAACCTCCAGCTTGAGCAGCTTATTGATTATCAATCATTTTTCTTCTCTGATCCTGTTAGGAAGCATTTTAAGAAGCTGCTGTTTACTGAACTGTAGAGGAACATGAAGTGGATCTGATGACAGAGATCAGTCCAACTGTCCAATCCTCATTCAGCTTAGGTCCAACATGCCCAGCAGTGATTTCTGGGTTCCATTCAATGATCTCTATTTATTCCCTGGACAGCTGATAGGCCGTTGGTATCACACGTCGCTGTGAAGCCACCAGCCGCCATATTGGTACTCCCTAGTTATACTGGTCGTAACGTAAACAATAGGTGTGCTACAGCATAGAAAAATGATGCTGTTCTCCTTTTCAGGGCGGCTTTAGACTTGTCCATGAACTGGATAAATCATGCAATATAACATGTTATACAAATCCATCACTTAGTAATTCTGTAGTCAGATGTTTACAATATTACTCATGCACACACACACTATCTGATGATGTGCAAAAAATGCTAAATTGATGATGTACATGTAATATACATGTATTGATAGCATTGTTATGGTAATTCCTTTACAGGCATTTTCATGGCACGACTCTGTGAAAGTGGGGAGTACCAAGATGGCAGCAGGTGACTTCAGGTTTTTGTGTCTATCAGCAATCCAGTGAATAAATAGAGATCAGTAACGTCCTGCTGCTTAATGCCACAAATCCAGAAAGGTTCAACCAATCCGTGTTCCTGCTCACATCAGCAGTCGATCAGAGATTTCACTGAGTAACCATGGCGATACGTGAACGTGAAGCACTATTAGCAGGATGGAAGGCCCCTGATGGGAGGTTAAATTATTTTCATCAAACATTTCGAGAAATGTTTCCTTAGATGTGATATTCAACCAGTCAGTTTTGACACATTTTTAATAAGTGTTATTGTCACTAACGATTTTAATGAAAGTGTAGTGAAATATTTCTGTCTAGGGTTAGTTTCAGTCTGGATATATCCTTAAGTCCTGAAGTTTTTATTTCTGATTTGAATAATCAACTTCATTTCTCTCACAGTGGAGAAATTTACTCGTTTATTAAATTACTTATCATTTTGCAGACTAAACTTTAAAGTTAAATGATAACCCCTTTTCCCTCACATTTAACCATTTATTAAAACAATTTAACCCTTTCTGTCCCATCAGTGTAGAGGACCTGTGATGCTGTGGGCCTTTTTCTCTCCCAGATGCAGCTGGACCCTTATTCAAAAACTATATTGGTCCGATCATACGTGCTCGTATTCATGTGCTTCATCGGTTTAAAAAGGCGTATCGGTTTATTTAAAGTAAAACAGCAACAATTCACTTAATACACAATAGTGTGATCACACATCTGGAGGTGCTGGTGCGCAGCGTAGGGAAGTCTTTCCAGTACCAGAGCTTCTACTGCAGGTCTGGTTGGTCCAGTGAACTGAGCAGGAGTCACAGCTGGGTCCTTCAATAGGAGGAGGATCCACAGTGTATGCAGCGATCGACAGGAAGAGAGAAAAATTAAGCCCCTTCCAGGATCAGCAGACGGAGGAAAAGACCCAAGATGCTAAAAGACCCCCGACCCTAAAGGACCCCTGACCACGACGCTCCTGTGGCGAGCAAAAGTCATCGTCTCTTCTCTCTGACCTCAGACGTTGTGAGCAGCACACAGACTGAACCAAACTTGCATTTGACACGGACTTTCCTGCCAATTAACCAAATTAAAACAACGCATCACTTTAAAAGTTTCCTTTAAAATACGGCAAACAGTCAAACAAAACCGAACGGCTGAATGATTGATAATCTGCGGGCTAATAATCCTCCAGGTACATGAATGAATCCCTTCAGCTCATAAACCAGAGCAGATCGCAGCCAGTTCCTGCTGCAGACTCAGTTTAAGACTCACGTCTGGTTTTTATGTGACGTTTTTAATCAGGATGAAACATCTCTAAAAGACTTTCACAATAAAAGTCATCTGCAGCAGAGGACATCCATGATTAATTCAACCTGAAGCCTCCTTTAGCTTTTAAATGTTTAAAAACCAATAAGCTCCACTGCTAAAAGGTTTAACTTCTGAATTATATCGGAACAGAAAAGGTTCCAACATCTGCTGCTAACAGAGAACTTCTTACAGAGAATCTGGAAGAATGCCCATGGAGGGGGCGTGGCCAAGGACCATCTCCCGCTGTAATGGTCATAGTTTGAAATAAAACGATTCTTTTAACATAAATGTTTCTTTCTGTTCAGATCATAAAGTCACAGAAGTTCTCTTGGTTCCTCTGTGACTCTATGAAGAACCAAAGCAGCTCAGACGTTCTGTCCACAGCTACGGCGACGATTCTGAGAAGGCTTTGAGAAGCAGGTCAGCAGCCAGTCCTGGAGAGACCACTCCTCTGGTGACCTTCTGCTCCAGGAGGGGGAGAGCCTCTCTGACAGCTGGGTGGTTCTGGAAATGCAAGAGGACGTTCTCCTGGATGAGACTCCACATCCAGACCTTCTGCTGGGCCCTCCTCCGGCCCTGCAGCTCGCCGCTGCTCAGCATGGCGTCTCTGTACGCCTCCATCTTGGCCCAGACCTCTGTGATGCCGTCCAAGGTGTGGGCGGAGGCGCGTACCACCTGGGGGAGTTTAAAAGAAAAGCGTCGGGTGTCAATCAATCCTTCGGATTTTGCCACATCACGTGAAAATAACGGAATAAAACCATCTACCCAGCAGGAAGGGGAATATGCTTTGAAACTGAACATTCTTGATCTACAATAGAGTTTCTATATAGAGTAGAAAGTCTAACATCAGCATCAGTGTTATTATAGGCTGTTAAACAACAGGAGTGGGCAGTAATATGACCAGATTAGAAGAAGAGCAGGAGGATGAGCGGTCAGAGTCGCTGTACGCTGTGCTGAACCAGTAATGATCCATTGCACCAGTATCACTAGCTGCCCTAATGAGTGTCCCGAGATCTTAGTTTTCAGTCTCACAACAAATCCAACTTTAACGACTCCCGCTAATCCGTCCCCTCCGTCCCCAAACAAAAAGCGAGTCGGACCAATGAAATGCCAGCAGTGCTTTTTGGGGCGGGACATGTAGGAATGACAGCGGTCCTTGCCGGGACATAAACATGGCTACGCTGGAGGACTTGCCCATCGATACTACAATTGACTGGGTTTTAGCTAGAATAGTAACAATTTCTCGTTAAAAAAGGAGCAAAAAGAAGCACTACTGCATTTTTAGATGGGAAAGATGTCTGTGCTTTTCTTCTGACATGATTTGGAAAAAGTTTGATTTATCCTCTTACTTCTAGTTGTCAAAACACTCAAGAAGCTGCAGATGATTTGCTGCTATGATTGGATGAAAGCGTATTATGGAAGGCGGGTACTAGCTGTCACGTCTCCCAATCAGCTCAAAGTATTTTACTAAACGTCCCTCCTTTTCACAGACAGACTGAGCAGCAGCTATCCCAGATTGATAACGAGGAACTCAACTCAGTTCTACACATATCGATCTGGCTACTGCCAGGTTAATCATTAGCAGGACTGGAGATAGTTGCTGAACGCTGAGGAGGTGATTCAGGTGTGATCTACAGACACATCTAATAGGAGCTCCAGGAACCCTGGTCTAGATCTAAGGCAAATGGCCTAGTCAAAACACCGACCTGAGAACCTGATATGACAAAAAGTGTGGACTCAGGATTGGATACGTTTCAGATTTCTCTGCGTTAAACCCTTCAGAGGTCTTATTCGGATGCAGTCATCCTTCCACTAAATTATCCACAATTTTCTGCAGGTTTGACATGTAGTAAAAAACTCTATAGATTTAGTTATAGGTTTTCTGTCCTTCTTGTAATTTCATCCAGAGTCAGACGGCAGAGAAACCGACCCGCAGCATCTGCTTCAAAATGACAGACGGAAGTGAGCTGAGAGAGGAATAAGGCTAAGCATGCTGGGATCCTCATAATCATCATCTGTGTCTGTTAACGTGCCGCAGACAGACACACCTTGGGGTTCCAGGATCTGGACTGTCTCCTGAGCAGCTTCAGGGCGCTGGTGTATTCGGCCTGGATGCGCCTGGCTGGAACCAGCAGGTCTCCGTCAGACTTGGTCACCACCACCAGGTCGGCTCGCTCTATGATGCCCCGCTTGATGCCCTGCAGAACAGGAAGGGAACCAGAAGGTCAGACTGATGCAGCAGGGTTTCCATAGCGATGCACCGATACCAAAACGGTCCAACACCCACTGGATCAGGACCAAACGCTGATCAAGTCTGTGTCCCTCGTTTTCAGGCTCCATGTTTGTAAAAACATCCAACACTAAAGAACGTTAAGTCCGGTTTAATGGGATGAACGGCAGTGAAATGGTTCATCATTCTGACCAATCAGCAGGTTAGTAGAACAGATGTGCAGAAGATCTGTTCTTCCAAGTCTTTCTGTAACTGACCAATTTGGCTTTTTATTAGCAAAAATCAACCATTTCTTTCATAAATGCTATTATTTCAAATTCTAAAAAACAAATAAAAAAACAAATATAAAAACAGTCCCATAGTTTAGAACGAGATTTTATAAATAGATAGGGTCGCATCTTTGATTACGGTAGCTGAAAGAGGACAAAGTTGTTAGCCTAACAGGTTTGACCTGTAAATGAAGACGTGTTGTAAAATAAAGATGACTTAAATGATTCTATGATGGACGCCCATCCAGAGCAAAGAAGTAGGAGAAAAACAGGACCGAGTGGAGACCAGAGTGACGTCATACAGCAGAAGGAAGGCAGAATATCAGTAGCTACAGATCTGCTATGTGATGAAAAGCTGTTGTCGTTTCGTCTGTTCGCCGCGCTCTATGAAAGGCTGCAGGTCATTACAGTTAAATTCTGACGTCTGCAGCAGGAGGACCATCTGCATCTGCTGGTTCTGGTCACCGTTATGTTGTTAAGTTAACTTCATCAGGAGTTTCTAGGCAGGCTGAGCCCCCTGGGCGGAGCTAAAACGTTCACTCTTAGGGCTGTACGATGTAGATTTTTCATACCCAAGCTTTCAGTTTTAGAATGCTTGCGTCGCCAGAGAACATTGTTACAGAACTTTACTGTAACCATTGTTTGAAAAACTGTTGACTTTTCTTCCTTTCTGTGTGGCAACAAACCCACTTCAAGCCTTTTACCAACACCTAAAGGGCTGCAGAGAGAAATTTAGAGCTTTTCTTATGTTAACTATAGTGTGAATGAACATCAATGCCTCTGCAATTGAAAATTACATTTTGTTAAATTGCGATTATATTGCAAATGTGATTAATTATTCAGCCCTGCTCACTGCAGGGCTCGATGTTAACCATTGCCCGATCTCCCAGGGCAAGTAGTTTTTATTGTCGGGAGAGTACAAATTTCACTGCATTTGCCCACCGGGCAATTACTTTAAAATCAGCAACATTCAATGAAAATGACCCAGAAGCATTGCCGGCGCCATTTTTGTTGTTTTGTACACATTCTCGCTACACATTTTATATTGGATCATCTAAAGATGATCCAATATAAAACCACAGGAGGATGAATAAAATGTAAAGGATGTTTGATGAACTGATGTTCAGCTTTAAACTGAACATCAGTTGTACTAAAACTTTTGTTTTCATGATGTAAACGTCTGTGTATTTCCTTCTCTGCTCTCCTGCTGATGCGGCGGCTGTCCTTTTAACGCCATCCTCCACACGCCAAACTGAATCAAAATGAGAATAAAAAAAAAAAAAGATTTTCTTCCATAAACTCCCTGATCTAAAGTGAAGTCTGTTTCCAAAGACGTCCTCCGATAATCAAAACAAATGTCATCTCACCTCCGTGTCTCACCCCACTATGAATCATAATGAGACGGGCTAACGAAGCTGCTAATTAAGCTAATTAATAAACTGATTAGCATATAGTTTTGTCAACAGGATCATCTTCACTAAACAACCAGACCCATTAACTCCTCTGGGTCTAAAGGTCTGAGCGCCTCCAGCTGAGCTGCTGCAGATCTTTGCTCCTCCTGTGATGAAGGACGCAGGAATCGCCTCCATGCTGACAAACTAAACCTGTCTTCATCATCATCATCATCATCATCAGAGATGGGAATCAAAAACCGGTTCCTGTTCAGAACTAGATCCGTGTGTTCCAGTTCCATGGCACCAGCTTGCTTAAAGGGGAACGCCGTTTTTTTTCACATTTGGCCCTTGATTTTACGTTATTACATCATGTTCTACTCACCCATATTAGTTTTTTGTCATTTTGTTCTGAAGATATTCAGTCTTCCTATGGGCAACGACTTGAAGGCACAAACTGAACTGTTCATAATTTATCATTTATACTACGCCAGCATTCATAACATGTAGGCCAATCACTGTCCTCCAGACATTCGCGGTTATAATTTTTATATTTATATGTTTTAAAAACGAAGCAGCGCGTGGATGACGTCATCCGCACGCGCCGGCTACCTTTCATTCATCCTGTCCGCTGAACTGCTGCTAGTTTTCCTCACATGTCTGGAAGATGTCTAGTGCTGCTACCACAGATGATCTCGCTCTCCAAATGGAATTGAACGATTTAAATTAGCTAGCCGAATGAATATAAGGGGTAGAGCGTAGCCGCCTGTGGCCCGGGCTGCCTGTTATGACTCCATTGGACCTGAACAAGCGGTGAGGTTTACGATCAGACCTGTCGGAGCCCCTTCTGAACCCAGAGTGACAGTTAAAGGTTGAAGATGAAGACCTGTTCTGGTTCACTGACCTGCAGTTCGTCGCCACCTGCTGGTGGAATCAGAAGCACGAACATGTCGACCATGTCTGCCACCGCAAACTCAGACTGGCCGACACCTGAAACAGCAGAAGAGTCCAGTTATCATGACTGAGCATCAGAACAGACCAGAACCTCGTTAAAAGGGCCGGATCAGGATGAATCCAGACAGACTTCCTATGGTGGATTTAAAAAGCTGAAGCTCGACTTGGTCACAGCAACAAATGAAGAAGAAAACAAGGAGAAAGTTTTTCTTTGGCAGCTCAGAGATGAATATTCATTAACTCCAACAAACTTGAGATTTATTCCTCACAGTGAATTCATTGTTTCCTCGCCGTTTAAAGCAGGGCGCCAAAACGTGAGCGTCACTGAGCTTCCAAGAGTGTTTCAACACTTCCTGTTCCTGTGACTTCATCTGCTCAGAGTAAGAAACTATTCCCAGTTGTCTGGATGCTTTTTTTTTTTTTTTTCTGAGGCAGATTGTTTTGTTATCGTTCTGATGGTGCGTTTATACCAAACACGATTCCAGATAAAAAGTCTCCGCGTTCAGCTGCTGTCGCTCCCCGACACGCTGAGGTTCCACTCCTCACGCTTCACCACGACATCCAATAGGAGGAGCTTCTGCCTGCTGCTCCACAGCTTCATCACAGCCAGAGGGACATGGATGTTCACACTACTTTATTTGCATATCTGATGAAGTTCGCTTCCTGCGGTGCAGGGTCTGAGACCGTTATCCAGCTTCAGGGGAGGATCGTCCAGACAGGCGGGCAGAGGCGGTGCATCTGGAGCTACAAGAGGACAACCGATAAACGATCTAAACAGTCCTTCTAGGGCTAAATTAACCTCGCAAAACAAGATGAACTCCCTAAAATACATCTTGCCAACAGATGCGTCAGCCTTGAATACAGAAATGTTTCAGACCAATGAAATGCAGTGACGTGAATGATGTCATCCAGAAGTGGCCGGAGTGAAACCAACATGGCTGCACCTGTTTTAGCTGGAATACCCTCCATTTGTTTTAACAAACAAGCAAAAGGACGAGATTCTTGCCTTTGTGGATGGAAAGATGTTCAGGCATTCCTCCAGAACAGTTTGGTTTGATCCTTAGTTAAATCTATGAAACAAATCAAGGATGTGAAACGCATCAGCTGCTACTGCTGCTGTGATTGGCTAAATGCTCGACATGGAGGCAGGTGTCGCTTAGTGATTTACCCAATCAGCTTGAAGAATTGCCCTGAACTTCCCTCCCCTTAGTAAACACTTTCTAATGGAGGCTTTCCAGGTGGATGCTGAGTAGAATGAATGAATGAATCCATCCACCCAGACGTCCCTCTCCCCAGGCACCTGGGCCAGCTCCTCCGGGGGAATCTCAAGGCGCTCCCAGGCCAGCAGAGAAACATAGTCCCTCCAACCTGTCCTGAGTCTCCTCCTGGTGGGACGTGCCTGGAACACCTCACCATGGAGACGTCCAGGAGGCATCCTAACCAGATGCCCGAGCCACCTCAACTGGCTCCCCTTGATGTGGAGGAGCAGCGGCTCTACTCTGAGTCCTCTAAGGGAGAGCCCAGACACACTACGGAGAAAACTCATTTCAACCGCTTGTATTCTGGGTCTCATTCTTTGGTCATGATCCAAAGATGATCATAGATGAGGGTAGGAACGTAGATCGACCGGTACATCCATAGCTTTGCTTTTTGGCTCAGCTCTCTCTTCACCACAACAGACCGGTACAGCGCACGCTTCACAGCAGACACCGCACCAATCCGCCCATCGATCTCCTGCTCCATCTTCCTCCCATTCGTGACCCCAAGATACTTAAACTCCTCCACTAGGGGCAGTACATCCTCCCCAACCCGGAGAGGGCACTCTACCCTTTTCCGGCTCAAGACCATGGTCCGGATTTGAAGGCATTGATCCTCATCCCGGCCGCTTCACACTCGGCTGCGAACTGCTCCAGTGAGAGCTGTAGATCACGCCCTGATGAAGCCAACAGAACTACATCATCTGCGAAAAACAGAGACTCAATCCTAAGGCCACCAAAACACCTTGGCTGCGCCTAGAAATTCTCTCCATAAAAGTAGAATTCAAACTGAGCTAAAGGAGCCATCTGGCTAAAGACAAGCTAACCATGCCCCCCCCTCCCCCTTTAATTACAACAATAAGCTAAATTAAAGCGCCTGCTTTAAAAGCACAAACCTATAAATACGTTCTGAGTTCATCATTTGTCAGTAGGGATGCACGATATTGGGATTTTGGCCGATATCCGATATGCCGATAATTTAAAACTCATGTAGCCGATAACCGATATCAATACCGATGTTAAAGCTGGACAAAAATAAGTATTCATTGAAAATAGCAGTTTAAAAAATAATATACTCAAATATATTTTCATATGCTGATATCAAATTGATTTTTAAAAACGCGGTATCGATCTATTTTACTTTCAAAATCTGGTGAAATTTCATCGTTCCGTTACAAACTCTCGTGATATTTTGCAAATTCTTGTGAGATTTTGTTAGTAAAATAGATCGATACCGCGTCAATATATCAACATATAAAAATATGGCAAAATTTCGTGGATTTTCGGGGGATTTCGTAGCATAACGATGACATATAGCAATATTTCATTAGTAAAAGACATTGATATGGTGTTTTTAAATGGCAATATATCAGCATACGAAGGTGATATTTTAATGTATCAATATTTTTTCCCTCGTCTTTAGAAGTTTTTAAGTCTGTAAAAAATAAGTTTTTAGAGGAGGAAGAAGAAGAAGTAGTATTTTTTATTTTTTTTTTAGACTTTAGAAACTCAGAAGCTGATTAAATATCGGTGGGGTGGCCGATGTCCGATATTCAGTTTTAAGGCCGATACAGGCCGATACCAATAGGGGGCTGATTATATCGTGCATCCCTATTTGTCAGCATACATTTTACTGCGCTCCTTCATCCTCACAGCATCGTCCGTGAATCTGACTGGTTGTCATGGCAAAAAGGGCGGGAAGTTTCAGATTTTAAAGACTGTACGAAAGTCGCTGCGCATCCATTGCGGTTGCTACGTAGCTGCCATCACCATTACCTGACCTGTTCCATCGCTTTAGACCTCCACTTAAGGATAAGATGGAAATCGATTGCTGAAAATACGTTTGGTTTGAATGCACCACAACCGATCTCTATGTGCTGTCAGTTTTAGCTGATTCGGTGTCTCTTCCTCTGTTTACGTGCTAGAATCAAACAATGATATCAAACTTTACCCAACTATCAATTTAAACTGTGGGTTGAAACAATAAATTACTGAAAGAATCGTCAACTAATTTAGTGATGGATTAATGATTAAACTGAGTATAGAGACTCTAAAACATACCTGTAGCTGACAGTGACCCACTTAGAGCAGGAATTATATCAAAATTGTAAAAAAGAATATGAATAAAACTTTTAAATTTAAGATGTAAAAAAATGTTGTCTGTCAATATGCTCTATCCAGAACTCCTCAAGAATAAAAGTTTTATTTTCACCTGGTTTAATTTAAACCGCTTTAAAGAACCTTTGGCTATCCAATTAAAAAATAATAATAATAAAATTGACAGATTAATCCATTTGCTAAATAATCATTAGTTTCAGCCCTATTATAAACCAAAATAAACCTTTATTAAGTAATCAAAGAAAAACAATAACAATGGATGGAAGATGGAGGAGCAGCACCGCCTCAGCCAGCTGATGGATCGATCTAAATTCTACCGAGTTTAACCTGCTAACAATAAATTAAACTCGGCTATGATGAGATGAAAACATGAAAATGCATTAAGGATCAGCGATGATGTCTAATATATATATGCTGATTAATATGTTCCATAATTTTTTGCTCAAAAGGGAAACTTTTTTTAAAGTATTGGATTAAAGAGCCTCACCAACAGTCTCCACAAGGACGACGTCATAGCCCGCCCCCTCACAGAGGACGATAGCCTCGTTGGTGGTGCGTGTGACTCCGCCGAGCGTTCCTGAGGCCGGCGACGGCCTGATGAAGGCGTTCATGTCTCTGGACAGCTCCGTCATACGGGTTTTGTCACCAAGCAGAGACCCTGCAACCAGAACTCCCAGTTAGTCCCGCCTGAACGCTGCAGTACATCAGATGAGCCGCTTTATCGACCGTCACCTCCTGTGGTGCAGGAGGAGGGGTCCACGGCCAGCACCGCTACTTTATGGCCACGCCCAGTCAACATCTTCCCCACCACCTCAATGAACGAGGACTTCCCAGCGCCTGGAGGACCGGATAATCCTGAGGAAAAAAAAAGAAACGTTGAGAGGAAATCACAAGCATAACGCTTTACAGTGAAGCTGTGGGATGAATGATTAAACATGTTAACGGTGAGAAAAACAGCAGGTTTCCAGCAGGTCAAGCTTCGTGCTATCAGAAACATCAGCTGCCCGTTTATAAAACACAGTGGGCGGTTGGAAACCCAACCTTTGATTTTTTTAAATTAGCGGAACGAGTTTTAAAAGGGAAAACATTGCAGCCCCTTTTGATCCAAGATGAACTGAGTTTAAATTGGACTTTGGTTTGATGTGAATTTGTAAATTTTCTTAAGTTGTGTTTGTTTTTTTGAAGACTCTTCTAAGGACGGACATTAGCCTCAATAGTGAGAGGCGTACATTAAACATGGAAACTGTTCTCCTTATTAAAAAGATCAACTTTAACAACATGTTTTTGATGCATCAATGCTGGATAAAGATATTTTCTTTGTGTTTGTTTAAACCGAGAACCTGGACCTCGATGCTCCTCCTTCACGTGATGACGATCCTATTCCTCCTCGTGCACGCTCTGTTTAAAACTTACTCTTTGCATAGATCATACAAGCTTACTTTCCAAAAGAAGATTTGCAATTTTTCCACTATGTCAGACTGTAAAGGTGAAAATGGGGACAAGCACGTAGGAGGGCCTTACATAAACATATCACTAGAATGATTGACAATTAGGGGGACCACAAAAGAACATCCTCCTCTATACCTTCAGAGCAGAGGTCTTCAACGTTTAAGGCCAAGGACCCCCAAACTAATGGCGAGATGGAGCGGAGACCCGATAATTATATATATTGTATGAAATTGTGTTATATCAAACTGGTCCTATAGTCACTCTAATGTAGCAAAAGTAATCCCTCCCTGGGATTATTAAAGTATTTCTGATTCCTGGTTGGTGGGACAGGTGTTGTGAATGAAACGGTGCCCAGCTTGAAAGAGCTCCTGTGTGTCGCTGAATGTGTGCATTAATGACTGAAAGACATCTTCTGCCTTCATTTATCTGTTTACTGCAGTGGGTTGAATTCGTGTTAATGTGGATTTAAAGACATTTCAATTAATGGAAAAAAATGCAGAAAAGAAAAAGTCTAATCAACCAAAACTTTCATGCAGTACCTCTATAGACCCCTTAGGGGTCACTGACCCCCTATTGAAGACCTCTGCTTTAAAGTTTAACATGTTAACTTAAGATCACAATGATGGTTAAAACCATCTGGTGACAATGGTGGGTCCTTCATTTAATTCAGTTCAGTTTATTTCTATAGCACATGTTCACATGTCATATCAAGTCACTATAGATCTAATTCAATCAGATTGAGTTTCTGAGGAAATCACTGATTTTACAGGATCCTCTCCTGGATGAGCAGTAGATATGGACTTTACAGCAATCACTCACACCGAGCATGCATGCAACGACAGTGGAGAGGAAAAGCTACCTTAGAGTAAACCTATAAATGGTAGCGGTCAGCTCTAGCACTCACCTACTCTGAAGGCCACTGGCTTCCCTCCATTGCTGCTCTCCTGCTTCCTCCTGAAGCCCAGCACCTTCTGCAGCAGAACCTGGGCCAGCTCCTTCTTCCTGGGATGCTGAGTCTCCACCAGCGTAATGGACTCAGCCAGGGAGGCTCTCTGTCCGCAGATCAGTCCTTTATACAGTCTGTCCAGCAGACTGTGCTCAGGCCCACTCAGGTCCTGGATGTGCTGGCTAACAGGGGCGCTGCTGTGGAGCAGGCAGCTGGATGGAGGCCGGCAGAAGAGGCGGAGGAGACTGACACCAAGCCGCCTCATTTTCAGGCGATTATAGGATGTCTGGGAGAGAAGAAGGAAGAATCAGAACCAGAAGTCTGGGAAAAAAACGACTGTGGACCATGTTACCCAACAACTAACCAAGTTCTTTGACTTCTAATGTGCGGTTCTTCATCCACCAATTGAACCAGCGATTCACATCGACGTCATCCTATGACGTATTTACGCCACATAACTGTTGTAGTGACATTTAATATCAAAATATCAACAAAGACCAGAAACTCCACTTACTCTGTGACCTCCCAGCAGCCGCTCAGAAGCATGTCAGCCATCTTTAGATCGCTCTCTTCCGGTTTCCGCTGACGTCACGGGCGTTTATAAATTCAAACAAATTAATAAAAATAAATTAGTCTCTTTAAAACATTCCACTTTCCGTTACAGATCATTAATAAACAAATGATCTTGTTTTAATAAAACAATAAGAAGTTTTTTATGTAACTATCAATCTTAACCACTAGATGGCAGCATAGGAAAATATATTCTGTTCCCAAATTCCGGTAAATATCCATTGGTTGTAGAAATATCTTTATTAAGGTAACTTAAGAAAAAAAAAAGCTTTTATAATATACACAAGAGCTGCAAAACGGAAGTATGGTTTATGATGAGGTTCATTTTTCATGTTCATTGCAGAGGCGTAGCCAGAACGTTTTAATAGGGGTGGCCAGGCAGTAACCAATCTACACTGTAGAATGAAAACAACATCCATATTATCTAAATAAAGACAAACTATACTTTCCTACAGCCTTTGCTAACAAATAGACGCATATATTCAAACATCCCTGCTGTCTAAATTAAAGGTTGACAAACTTTATGGGGCAAAAATCTTTTCCATAGTCATACCCACTTTTATCAAAAATTACTCTGCATAAAATTAATATTTACATGTACTAATATCTACCATTTTGTTTTTTTCCACTGAAGACTCCTAGATGATTTACAGAGACATAATCTTCTATTAACCCCTTTAACACAAAATCTAGTTCTGAAATGAGCATGAATTCTGTATATATCAACTTTAATGTTAATATTTTGATGTGTATAATTGACCAATTAATTGTTAATATATGAAAAATTGAGAGTAGCCTACTACTCCTGTGGAAAAAATGGTAGGGATGCCCCCCCCTCCTGAGTTCATGTTTTCATCACACAACCACTGCAGTTACATTTCTATGTTTCCTCCTCCAAGGATGTAATGTTTTCATCAGTGCTGGTTTGTCTGTTTTCAAAATAACTGGATGAGCTTTGGATGGATTTTAGTTAAATTTTGAGAGAAGCTGTTTGTCACTGGTAAAAATATATAACATTTTGGTGACGATCCAGATCAGTGAATACAGGTAATAACTAAAGGTGGAAGTCAACTATATGTGGGGGAAATGAGCTACTGGGCAGAGAGCTGTGCTCTTAAGAGTGCTTTTCTGGTTATTTATCCATTTTTGTAATTTGTTTCTGGTTAAATCTATTCAAAATTAAGACTCATTGAGCTTTAATATACTGTAAATCCGATGGTTTGGTTAGTAGGCACACAAATTTCACCAGCAGCTCTTGAGACAGTAACCAAAGACCAAAAAGTTTGTGTTTAATCAAACAATTTTATTAAATCTTCCAGGAGAGACTTTATATTCATGGAATAAAACTGCTTTCTGGGAGTTTTACAGAGCAAAACAGGAAAAAAAAAAAAAAAAAACAAGACAGCAAAGAGGCAAAAATGTGAAAGTGCTGACAAAAATAGAAAAAGAAGAATGGTGTGAGTAAAACAATTCAGCTGCAAAGAGGACGGCTAAAAGCAAAACAAACACAGCAAACTTAACATTTAATAAAAAAAAAAAAATCATAGGACATTAGAAAATGACACCTTTTTCTTAGTTATGGATTAAAATCTGGACACTCAACATTTTCCCTAAAACAGTTTTAATTCGCTCTGTTCACTTTAATAAGAGACACTAAATTTTTACACTACCTTTAAAAACTTCTGGAGAACAAACATTTTGTCCAGGTTTTATGGAAACTCCAAGTCAAATGATGATGGAAGATTATCTGTAAACTCTCCAAACCTCCCTGTTGGTTCCTACAGCCCAATAAACCAGCTTTGAGGACAAATCCAGTTAAAAGGCAACTGGGGAAATGGAGACAGAGAGACTGGACATGGATATAAACCTTTAAGAAACAAACCAGGGGACCCAGCTGATCCAGGAGAGCTGTTTAGATTAACAGCTTTTAAACACCAGGGATTATTTGGTCGAATCCAGCACACTGCAAAAACAATCTTAAAATGTGTAAAAATGTTTTAATACGTGGATTTACCCTTAATTTGAGTAGGTAAATAAGATGATCTTCCAAAGGAATGAGCATTTCTAGCCTTAAAAATACATAATTTGATATTACTCACTTGAATATTTTTTTTTTTTCTTATTTTAAAGAGGGTCACAGAATGATTCTGTAGGGTATTTGGTGCTGGGCATTAAGGTCTCTGAACAGGGTGTGTGACATTGATTGGGCTGAAAATATAATATATAAACATATTTGCTGCTCATGAATATTTAGATGAGCTGTGCTCTGATTAGTTGGTTTACAACGAGCGAAGCTGCTGAGCAAAGACCAATCATAGCAACAAGCACTCACTCACTGAAACATCAAATGGCTGATATGGTAGGGTGACCAGACGTCCTCTTTTTCCCGGACATGTCCTACTTTTCATACCTAAAAAAATGTCCGGGAGAATTTCAAAATCGTCCGGGATTTTGGTCGACTATAGTGCATCATCAATTTCGGGGCGTGACAAAAGTACAGGCCAGAACCAATAAGGCAGGATCCCTGAATTGACATGAACTCGGTGCTTCATTTGGATTGGCCCGTTTTATGGTGGAAGTTTAGAATTGTGAGATTTGCAGAGAAAGGAGGCGTTGATGGGGTTTGACCTTCTCACCCCAGGCTCACACCGACTCCGGTCTTACCGTTGCGGTGCGGTGGGTGCGGCGCCGCAGTGATTCCAAGTCATTAAAAAGACGTAAACCTCTCTCACCGGCTGCTGAGCTGTCCAGCTGCGGTTACCGAGACACTCCGGCGCTGCAGAAAATTCCGCAAGAAAGCTATCCTTGCGGCGTGCCGGAGCCCTCCGCAACAAGCTCTCGCAAATATCCTTATTTGGGCCGTGTTATCGCGTGAAGTTACGTGAACTCAAGTGAACTTCTGTTAAATCTCCGGACCTGTTGCCGGAGCCGCAGAGCCGCACCGCACCGTAGTCAAAAGGGCGGTGTGAGAGGGGGTGTGCAGGAGTTAAGGTCTCCGTCGGCTCGGTAACCGCACCGGAGCCAGTGTGAGCAAGGGGTCAGTATGTCCATTTCACTGACTGAACTATTGTTATTCATCTATGACAATGGAAACTCGGTTTTTCCTTCTATGACCCCTTTAAAAGTAAATTGTCTTATTCCATTTGCAAAGTGTCTACCTTACCTGCTCGATTCAAGAAGAATTTACTTATATTAGTAAAAAATGACTTAGTTTTCAATTTATTGCAGTGTACAGGTTTAGGTGGATCCAATGTTGACCTACTAGAAGATCAGGTAAAAACTGAGGCTACAGTGACCAAAAGATAAACCTGTGAAGCCTTCAAAGTAAAACATTTCTGACTCTCAGTAAAAAAAAAAAAACAACATACAGCAACATGTAACACTAACTTGTCCTTCCCTAAAATTGGTTACTTTCCTGTGTGTTTACAAAGTATCGTCTAAAACTTCCAGGTGCTTCATGGCACCTAAAAGCCCCTGTCTTTAAAAAAAACAACTATTAGGTATTTCTGTTACTTACAGGTTATTTCAAATAAATTTCTGGATCTAACTGGTTAATTTGATGTAAATAATGATTAAGTTGTATAAAAAAATGTGTAAAATCAAGGAGAATACTCTGGATATGCCAGAAATACCAGCTGGGCTCTGGGAAAATGAACACAAATGACCATTAAGCTCCAGAAAATGACTTGAAAGGCTCTGAAAAGGTCAAGAAACGTGACCTCTAATTTCTAAAAATACTTTCAGACTTCTGGGAAAGTAGTTACCATGTTGTTGGAAGCAATCTGTAAGTCTTAGAAAAGTAAGTAACCCCTCAGCTTTGATAAAAACTTAACACTTCACTATTTTAAAGAAAAAATATTTTGAGTCTTTACTCTGAAAACTGTTACAATGACCCACTGCTGGAAAGGAAAGGACAGGCTGGATGATGTTTGGTTCTGGAGTTAAAAAGACCAGACATGGGCTAAAATGGAGGGAAATTGATGCTAAAAGAAACTCATCAGCTCCCATCAACAGTGTTTCTGTAACTACGCTCAGTACAGTTCCAGATCCTGTCCATCAGGGCCGGTTCTGCTGCAGAGGAACAGCCACTGTGTCACACCATCCCAACCAGAATATGCTCTGATCTCCAGCATCTTCTCTTATGGTAAACATTTCTGCTATTTTCGCTTTAACCTAAGATCAGGGGATGGACACCGACAGTTTCAGTCTTTCAACGTGTAAAATGCTTTTTTAGCTTCCATCCAGACCCAGTTGTCGCTCCTGATGAATCAGGTACCTTACCTTAAATAACAGCCTCTAAGCACTTGATGACAGCTAGATTACTCTGACATGTGGGTCTTTCCCCAAACCTGTAACTTTGCACATTTGATGCTAATCGTATTTATTCAGACAGAAAACATCAGCTAACTGATGACCTGGAATGTCCCATAACTGGTAACAACACAAATATAGCTGAATTTTGGCAGGAATATTGAAATGCAATCTGAGTCAGAATAACAGGAGGATGAAGAAGTCCTTGTAGCAGAGGATGCCATTCACCTCATGAGAGCGACAGTCGAATAAAACCGTTGGTCACAAAGATCAAGTGTCTTCCAGTTGCATCCTTCTGCTCTCTCCTCTCCCAGTCTGGTAATGTGACCCACTCAGATGTCCTTCAAGTAGAACCCGCTCAGCCTCACAGGTCGCAGATCCGTTGGTCCTTCGGTCAGAACCAGGCTGACTGAACTACAAACTGATCTGGGAGCAGTTGGCTGCTGTTCTCCCTACCTGGACAGAAATGCTGGGGTGTGGAAAGGCCTGGGTTAGTGAGGCCTATGAAACAGAAGATATTGGGTTGTGGGGGGAACCCATCTGGGTCAGAACTTTATCCAGCCACTGCAGCGGGCCATGCAGGTGGATCTCAATCCAGCAGGGGGTGCTGGTGACATCCTGGCGATGGTACTCTGCTCCCCAGCCCTGAAAAGCAGAACGAAGAAAAAAAATATAAGTTTCTATTTTCATGTTCCTTTTGACACTATAGAACATCTTCGGGAAAGCTAAAGAACATCTTTGCGACCGCTTGAGAACATCTTTGCGACCGCTTGAGAACATCTTTGTTACCGCTTGAGAACATCTTTGCGACCGCTAGAGAACATCTTTGTGACCTCAAAGAACATCTTTGTGACCTCAAAGAACATCTTTGTGACCTCAAAGAACATCTATGTGACCTCAAAGAAACTCTTTGTGACCGCTAAAGAACATCTTTGTGACCGCTAAAGAACATCTTTGTGACCGCTAAAGAACATCTTTGTGACCGCTAAAGAACATCTTTGTGACCGCTAAAGAACATCTTTGTGACCGCTAAAGAACATCTTTGCGACCGCTAAAGAACATCTTTGTGACCTCAAAGAACATCTTTGTGACCGCTAAAGAACATCTTTGTGACCGCTAAAGAACATCTTTGCGACCGCTAAAGAACATCTTTGTGACCTCAAAGAACATCTTTGTGACCGCTAAAGAACATCTTTGTGACCGCTAAAGAACATCTTTGCGACCGCTAAAGAACATCTTTGCGACCGCTAAAGAACATCTTTGTGACCTCAAAGAACATCTTTGCGACCGCTAAAGAACATCTTTGTGACCTCAAAGAACATCTTTGTGACCGCTAAAGAACATCTTTGTGACCGCTAAAGAACATCTTTGTGACCGCTAAAGAACATCTTTGCGACCGCTAAAGAACATCTTTGTGACCTCAAAGAACATCTTTGTGACCTCAAAGAACATCTTTGTGACCTCAAAGAACATCTTTGCGACCGCTAAAGAACATCTTTGTGACCTCAAAGAACATCTTTGCAACTGCTAAAGAACAACCCAGCGACAGCTAGAGAACATCTTCGAGACCTCTAAAGAACATATTTGCGACCACTTAAAAACATCTTTGCGACAGCTAAAGTACATCTTTGTGACAGCTAAAGCACATCTTTTGGATCTCCACAGAACATTTTTGGGACCGCTAAAGAACATTTTTGGGACAGCTAAGAAAAATCTTAGAGACCGCTAAAGAACATCTTTTGGATACATCTTTTGGCAAGCAGAGCTTTAATTCTTGATGTTTTGTTTGCGATTAGTAAAGATAGCAACACATGGTTTGTGTTTAAAACTGTTGTCATGATGGTTGGTTTAGCTGCTTGACAATGATTAAAGCACATCTGGAAAAGTCTCAAGCCATCCCGTCTTTTTCTTTTTTTTGTTTTACAACACTTTAAATTTCCCAAAGAGTTTTTCAACAACAGCTTTTTACTGTCTGTTTTTCTAACCACCTTAACAAAGCTCATCCGGATGGTGCACATTTTGGTGAGCTCGTAAACGGCCTCAAAGCCATGGTTGACGGACTGGGCCAGCAGCTCAGCAAACTCCTGGTTGTTGAAGATCTTCAGGCTACACCTGCTGGGAATCTTGCACACCGTGGTGGGATGGAAGCCATGGTGGTAGTTGCAGTTACGGCTCTGGACGAAGATACTGCTGTCACTCAGGCACTCGGCATACACCTCCCCTCCAACGTAGTACAGATGGACTCCTGGGAGGCACCAGAGGAGTTTATTATGGTGGTAGGACTAAGAAACATCTAGATTACTTTCATCTAGCATTACCTTTTCCGATGTGCCGCCGCGTGTTCTCTATGGTAGAGTTACGGTTGACGTTGGAGAGTAAGCCGAGGCAGAAGCGGTTGCGGTTGTTGGAGGGATCCGTGAAGCCGTCGACGAGCACGCTGGTGGAGGAAGCCTGGAAAGCCTCGCCAACACGATTGTTCAGCTCGTAGTAAACAATGGAGCACCAGTGCTTCGGTTCCTCATAGGCCACAGGCTGCACATCTGCACAGAAAACATGGGGTTCAGAGAACATCCATGCATTTATCCAGACCTGTAACAGTTAGCAGATAATGTTTCAGACATATTAATGTCAGTCTATCTGATCTTCTGAGTCATTCCAAACTTTCGTTCCCAGTTGGAAAAAAGAATCCATCTTTTTCTTCCTTTCACACACGGCTCTTAACTTGCTATTTTAACAGCTGGCAGGTGTGTTTGGTTTTTCTCCTTCTCAAAGCTGATCCACAATAGGAACCTGCTCTCTGCACAAGATGCAGTGCATGTCCCGACCTGCTGCTACCAGCTAACAAACCTCTCAGCACTTCTTTCTGCTGCTGCCGTGAGTAGAGGATCCGTGGACAACTACTGCATTTATGGGCCACAAAAGTTCAGGATTAGACTTAAAATGTACATTTTTTTTCTAAAGATAAGGCATCTTTAAAGGCTTGTAAAAAAACAAGAGGAACAAATGTGCAGACACGAACAATGCCAACTCCAAAGAACACAGAAACATTTTATACAGAAAAGGCTGCAACTAGGAGCAAAAAAAAAAAAAAGAAAAACTGCAAGTTGTGAAAAAACCCAGAGAATTTCTAAAATGCTGTAAACTCCTTCATAAACAAAGAGAGTCAGCCAGACCACTAGGGGGCATCAACCACCAGACCCTCAGTAAAGAAGAGCCTGACATTTTCCCATCAATAGTAAAATTTCAGGCTGTTTCCTTAAATTTTACCAGTTACAATTTATGTAACTGGGCATTCTCGTGACACGTCATCAGCCTCAGCACTGCTCCAATTGCCAAGATCCGAAGAATGAGAATAAACAGTCCCTGGATGTTGTTCTCACCCCGCCTCCTCACACTGCATGCATAACAGCAGATTTGTCCGTTCTCCAGATTGACAGCTGTCCCAGGTAAGCGCTCACAGAACTCTGAGTTCAGTTAAAACTTCCCTTTTCTGTTGCCGTTCTACAAAAGTACGTTTTCAGATCATTGGAGGTGAGAACATTATACTTTTAAGTTTCACTATATGGCCCGTTTATTGATTTAGTGTGTACTTTAAAGTCGTAGGGAAACAGCTATTCCAACGGTTGCACACGAGTGAATAAAGTGAATGTGATTGGTCATTTGTCAAGAGGGCGAGATTGTTGTGGTGGAAGTTTCGAAAGCAAGTTTGGTTTTGGCCAGTGTCTCGGAAGTATCTTGCTAACCAGTTAGCAACTTGGTGCTAGTAGGTTCCAAATGGGAAGTTACTAGGGGTGTAAATCACACCCATCATGGCGATTCGATTCAGTATCGATTTCCTGACCCAACGATTCAATTATTTTCGATACTCAAGAATACACCACGATACGATTCGATTAATTGGTTAATTTTTTTATTTGTATTTTTTTACACCTTACAGGCTAGACAATGTTTCAAATTTGACATAAATCAATGAAAGCTGTAATATCTTTGTTTTGTTTTTTTTGAGAAACTACAGAAAATAACAGAACTAGAAAAGTTGTACTCCACCTATTCCTATTAAAACCTCATTCACTGAAAAATAATAATGCCCCTGTGTTATAGATTCTGCAAGGCTTTGCATCACGAAATACTGCACAGAATCAGTGCAATGAGTGCAATGCAATACCTCGACTCCAGACGTCTCCGCCCTCTCCACAGACGCTCCGCTGCTCCTCTCCCAGATTGTAGCTGACCGCAAACAGTGCCGCAGACAGGAGGCCGGCTTGTTTTATGACCGAAATTGTGGAAAACAACTCGTGAAGTTTGACCCGCTAGAAGAGCGAGGTGCGCGAGAACGCTGGGACCCTTTTTCCACCTGGATCTCCGCTCTTTTTGGCCCTCATGTCCCTCCGTCGTCAGACTTAACTCGCCTCCACTTTCTCCCCGCCTCGGCCGTATCTAGACCCACAGCGTGTAGCTCAGACCACGCTTCTATATTGAGCATAAATCAAAAATGTCTGTTTCAAGCTCACTGCGACACACTACTGTAAGAGTATAACCAGGAAGCGAGGTAGGAGGGCAAAATAGGTTTAGCGCCACCGCAGCACAGGAGGGAGAATTACGTCCAGGAGCAAATGGATAGAAATAGACCGGAGGAAAAAAAAAAAACATGAATCGATACTCTTGCGACCGTAGCACTTAGCATCGACACTGTCAAGGAACATTATGGACAGGGGAAACATGCAGGGAGTTTTTCATCGGAGGTAGTGGACTAGCCTCCTCCGTCATATTTTTTTTACTTAGAGGAGGAAAGTGGGGATGAAGTTATTGGTGTAGAAGGCTTACAGCCGTACATGTTTGAGCCCTTGCCTTGCAACGCTGCCAGTTCTGTTAGCTCTACGCCTGCTGAAGACACAGACGTCCATCCCCGTGAACACTGGGACGGAGCTCAATGGGAAAGTAAATGATTTTTATTTCTTATTTCAACCATTGAGTATATTAGCTGCGACATAAGAATCAAGATGCTATGACTGAAAAAATTTGACAGATGACCGTTGCTATATGATTGGCCGAATTTAGGTGTTCAGGCTGATGTATAACTAAATGGCCTGCATAAGATAACAAAAACACCCAGGGGTTTTAAGACATCATCATCATCATCAACAGAAATTTTCTAAACTTTGGGACAATAATACATTTATATACATGTTCAAGGCAGAATGATTTGACATTTAAATGATTTCCCTACAAAAAAAAAAAATCTGACCTTGAGGACCGTGGCAACCAGCGGCGCTCTGAGGCTAACCGCACCCTGGGCTAACGTTAGTTCATCTGCAGCAGCCCTCTCACGGTTCAGTCTTGTGTGAAGTACAGCTGGCTCTGATGGCATTTTTTATTTTATTTGGCAAATCATTTATTTGATTTGTGTTTATCTGACTTGGGTTGTTTTATTTACTAAACATTTGCTGGAATAACATCAAAACATTATAAAAATCTAACATTAAAAACATTTTATCCAGCCTATTCAGTACACTATTAGTTGTACATTATAATCATGATTATCCTAATAAATAGAAAATAAGTACTATTTTTATCATCATCTAGAGACTTTTAATAAGAGGTGGTGAAATACAGGTCAAGATGAGGCATGTGTGAGCCCATACTTCCTGTGTTGTTTTCAGGAACAGATTTGGTGAGAACATGAGTCCAAACTCACGTTTTTGTGAATAATCTGCATGTTTAACATTAGACTTATAGTATAAATCTTTTCACGGCCTTGCCTCGTCCTCTCTATCTCAGCTATACTCTAGCATGGTGACTGACTCCGTCTAATGGACTGCGGAACTAAAGTTAGGTTATTGTATTATGTTTTTAAAAGTTGCACCTTTTTTTTAACTTTGGTTTTTGTATTTGTGTGTTTTTAACTGGACCTTCATGCGTCTGCACATGATTGGCCGTTTTTCTATCCTTTTTTTTTTATTGACAGAAAAATGTAAGAATTGAGGCAAACTGAAGCCGTTTCCTTTCAATAAAGTCCTTTTCAGTTCTTCTATGTGTAGAACAACATTCAGACCAAACCTCACAGGAAATTTTCAGGCCCAAGTTTTATCTGCCAGACATCCTGTGATTTCTCTGGGGGGGGGTTAACAACCTCCATGGTTACCTGCCCGGTTGTTTGTCTCTGTAGGCAGAGGCGGAGCCATGAGGTTGATGTCCATTGGCTGAGGACAGTCCTGCGTCATCTGCTCCTCTGGGGGGATGTAAGCAGGTGGGGGGGTCTCTGCATCAGGGGAGATCCAGAATTAAATAGAAAGTTAACAGCGGTTCAGTGTGGTGGGAATGGAGAAGCAGAACTCATTGGGCCTACCGGGCATCTGGAACGGGCTGCCTGGGTCCGAGCTGGAGGGCGAGTGAGGAAAGGTGGCGCTGCTGCCGCCGCCGGGGGAGCTTGGGAAGCCGTTTCCTGGAGAATGAGGGAAGGGGACGGTGTTTGCCTGAGTGAAGGACTCTGGGAAGGTGGCATTTTGGGGCATGTGTGGCTCGTTCTGCTGAAGGGGGTTCCGAAAGCGAGGCAGCATTGTGTGCTTGGCGTTGAACTCGCTGTTCCTTGGTACCAAAACAGGAGGCAGCACTGAAAGCAGAGGACGTCCAGAAAGGTTAGAGAGGGGAAAAAAAATTGGAAGCCAAAATTCTCAGGGCTCCGATCCAATCAGAACCGATTGACTTCTATCAGTTTTGTATTTTCATGCAGATATATTTAGTGAAAACTTCAGGGCTTTGAGACTTTAATGTTTCTGTGTTTTGTCACATTATACTAAAGATACAGAAACCTCCAGTAACATGATAAAAATGACACATTTATAACAAATGTTACGCAAAGTCTCAGTTAAAACAAAGAAGAAAACTTTATTAATAAATCAAACAGAAACATTAACAATGGATAACAGATGGAAGGAGCAGGGATCCATTTCCTTCATTTGTTCTAAAGTCACGGCTGCTAAATGCATTAATATATCATCCAAAGTGTGAAGATACTGAAACCAGAGAAAAAGGTTAACATCAGCCAAAAATAACTGCTGGTCTTATAAGTTGCTTGATTACCACGGCCTATTATTATGGAAAAAACCTGAGAACTAAGAGATTTCAAAGGTAAATTATATACAAGCAAAACGTAGCTCCAGATTTCCAAGTTGAAAAAAATGTTTTATATTTTATAAGAAAGTGAGAAAAATAAGGCAGAAATCTAATATATGTATTCAGGTTTCCTTGCAATTACAGCTGCATCTCTAATCCAGCACTCACAGTCCTTCCTGCACAGCGTGATGCAGCCACCACCATGCCAAAGAGTCAGATTTTCTATTATCATAAAAAAACGACTCCTCTTCTTCAAAGTCCTCCACAAAAATCACATAAACTTCCAGACCTAGGAGACTATTTTATTATTTTCCTTCAAACTAATCCTTTCTGCTTAAAACCTTTGTTGCTGTATCCAGTCTGAGCTCATGTGGCACAGAGGAAGGTTCATTCCTTCACAGTAAATGGTGCACAAAAGTAAACCCATCGTGGTGACCTCTCTAACATTATGCCAAAACCTTTGAAGCCAAAAGCTTCTTTAGAACCTCAGAGGAATATAAAAATATTGGCACAGGGTAAAAAAAAAAAAAAAAAAAGCCAGTAATGATAGAAAGAACTCTCAGGACCGACTTATTCTGGATGATGGAAGCGGACCTCAGAGCTCCTCGCTAGTCGCTCTGGCTAGCTACTAACAGAATAAATCAGTCTTTGTTTTTTTTCTAATCTAAGAATTTCAATCTGATTGTAAAATGTTGAGCATGTAAACCTAGTTACTGTTAGCAGGCAGCTGTGTCTTCAAAGGCAAGCTGTTTGAGAGGAGACTGAATTTAAAGGCCCCGCACGTTTACCTATTAAGAGAAAAAGTTCCTTAGGACGGTTTATCTTTGCACTTTAACCTCAGAGGTACGAGCTGCTGCAGATGGCGGTTATGTGACAGCATGTAGAAAAGGTTGCAGCCGTCCCCTTTGTTCTGCCTCAGAGGCAGGTCGACGTTTTTTTTTTTTTCTCTCCACAAACACACATCAGCTGCGATCGCTTGCATGCAACATGGGATTAATCCCGGATGTCTTTCTGTTGCTCTCCCTGATTCAACATTCTGAGCGCAGATGTCGGCGCATTTTTCAAACGTCGGCCTCGGCCAGAAGGTTCTGGCTCCAACCCCGGCTCTCGGGTTTCTGCTCTGAAAGATGTTATGAGGTGAAGCCTTCCTGAGGAATTCATCACTTGGACTAAATATCCCAGCTGATGGCTTTTCAGGTGCAGCAGAAAGCGCAGCAATACGCTCCGCTTGTGTCTATAAATACCTGAGCGGCCTTTGAGCGCAGCTCGGTGAATTTTCCAGAGGGTTCGCTCAGCAACAGGCCGACGCATCAGGGCAGAAGTCACCTCAGAGATTAAATGTGCTGCAGGCCGACTGTCTGATGAAGGGAGATTGACAGGAAGTGTATTTGGACGTGGGTGGTGTTGGGGTGGTGGTGAACAGACAGGTGGCGTGGAGCTGAATCCCCAGACAGCTGCTGCTAAAGCTTTACGTGTGCAAGGCAGGCCGCCACTTTTTCCTCCCATTGTGTGAGAGACGGTCTTCCTGTTCCAGCTAAACTCAATAGAACCCCCCCGACACAATCCTGGGTGTGTGGCCATGTTTTTGTTACCTTGTGGGGACACTTTGCTAGAAATATGCAACATTTTGGGGACTTATATGTTCTCGTTGGGACCAGAGACAGATTCCCGTGAGGAAAAGTTCCCCTCTTTTGGTGGAGGATAGTTTAAGGACTAAGGTGTGAAGTGAGTTTAAGTTCGGTTTAAATCAGGGAAATCAATGGAAGGTCCCCACAAGGATAGTGTGACACAACATGTGTGTTAGATTGTGTTAGTGAGCTGAGAGGGGTCTGCAACACGGAGCATGCCCCAAACAAAGCCTCTGTTCTCCTGCAGATGGAATTTCCTGCTCCCAAAACGCACCAATGGACACACCCACCCACAGCTTCACTGCTTTCACACATGCCTGTTTGTATCTGATCAGATCAGCCTCACTTCATGGGCTTACTTTAAACATTTCTGAGCTCATTTCAAAGTATCGCAACAGCTGATGGACACAGCAACATTTAAATCGACTAAATTTAGCAAAAGAAAAATAAGTAGTTTTCGGGGTGATTGAAGTGTTTACTCAAGTTTTTTTAATAAGACTGACGCCTGGTTTGTTTCTGACATATCGGTGCAGATCGCCACAGTAAATGACCTCATGGTAGCTTCAATGGCCCTCCTTCCAGCGTCCATGCTGCCTGATTTTTCCACACCGGGCATGAAAGAAAATGTGCAACTACACAGATATAAAAGGAAAAACATGGTGGAAGAACAACGGTTCAGGTGAGGGTTTACAGGCATCCTGTAGTGGTGATATTTAGGGACTAAAATCCCCACCATCAACAGGCTGAGAAAAACTATGACAAAGAAATGATGGCTAGGATTAGGAAATGTTGGGAAGAGCAGTTTTTTTACGCTCTCATGTTGTATTGGTTTTAAGCATGCAGTCTGCGATGAACACATTCCCTAAGAGTTGACCCCAATATTAGGTGCAAGAGAGAAGATGCAGAGTATAAAAGCTTCAGACGATGCTGAATGAAGCATAACTGAGCCTTTAATGAGCTATAGAGGTTCTATAATACACAGTTTAGCTACATGACTGATAGGCTGTTTCTTCTGCCGGCGCCCTGAATGAAGCACTAGGACTGAACCTCTGGATGGCAGAAACCAACAATAATACCAGCTGATGTGAGAAAGGAAGAACAACTGGCCTGGTTCTACCACATTCAGAAGCCCATCACTGATCTAAGGTCCAGCTAGCTAGCTAGCTTTACTTCCTGTTTACTATAGCCAGACGTAACCTAAACGTGTGACGACTCAATGCTTTGCATCACCTGGTTAATGTCCTCTAATAGAGGGAAGCGCCTCTAATTAGCATTTCTTTCTTGCCTCCTTAATGTTATCTTCATGTGTCTCGCATCATTCCTCCTTCCTACATACTGCTAATGCATGATGCTCATTTTCACCAACTTTTACTCAGGTGCTTGTTAATTTTAGTGCATTAGCACTAAAATTAACATAACTTGGACTGCAACTGATAAACATAGATTAAACTGTTTTAGAATCTCTACACTGGAAAAAATTTAATTCTAGATAAGTCATTTTTTCTTAAAATAAGTGCATTTGTTCCTGGATTGTGGAGGTAAAAGAGACAATTTGCCAATGGAACAAGACAATTTACATTTAAAATAAGAAAACACAATTGCATTGTCATTTTTCAAGTGCATATTATCTAATTATCTCATTCTAAGAGTAAAAACACTCATTCCATTAGCAAACTCTATCATTTACCTACTCAAAATAAGGGTAAATACGCTTAATTTAAGACATTTTTACTTATTTCTAGATCATTTTTCCAGTGATTAATCGATTACTGAATAGGTTGATGATTATTTCTATGATTCAATGCAAGGACACATGACCCATTCAGGGGCAGATCTGATTGGCTAAATTTAGAGGAGAGCAGGTCACACAGAGGGGGATTGATACGCAGCAGGATCTGAATTCCTGAAAAACCCTTAACCCCCAGATTCGCTTTGCTCCGTTCACGTACATCGTGCGAAGCACTTGCGCATTCATGTAAATCAATAAGAACTGTTCCACATCCATTGCTACTCCTCCGCACGTCACCGTCCACGTACATCTTCTTTGTCTTTAACCGTGAAAAATACGGAGCCAAGCTATTTTTTGCTCTGATCCGGTCCGGCCAGGTCAAGATCCGCAAACGCAATCGCACCAAACAAGAAAAAGAACGTCGAGAAGATCGGGTTTGTCAAATTAAAATATAGTAATAACAGATCAGCAACACAAAATTACACAAATTAAGAGTGTAATTATTATATATTCCCAAAAACTAAGACCGTTTGTTTAGATTATTGGATGCAAACTTTTGGTGCCTCAACATACCAGGAAGCAGATTTCTCATCTCTATCAAAATAATTATTTCATATCAAGAGGCTTAAAAGTTTCATCAAATCCAGTCATAAATTCCAAGAGTGAATCTGAGAACTTCTTATGGCAATCATGGATGAAGAGATGCTGAGTTTGGAAGTAGAAAACAAACAGTTCATACAAACTAATTGTGTATGATCCAAGTTATCCCTGTTACAAAGATCCACAACAAAACGAAAGTATTGGGGCAGAAATTGCACATATGCTGGATGGTGATGGGGATTATTTTTTTTATTATATCATATTAGATTATTCATTTCTGCACGTTTTTCTCCTATGAATGAAATAATAATATCGCGCTTGCTCTCCTCAAGCTTCAAGCAAGACGAGAGGAAGAGTGGAAGCTGTAGGCTGCAGACGGTCTGGAATGGAGCGAGGCAGAGGAAAAAGTCACTTTAAGTTAAATTCATTTCATCATAGATTTTTTTCTTTTACATTTCCCAACATAAAAGGAACAGATAAAACAATTACCTTATCAAAGTAGAATGAAAGAATTATTACAATATTTTTCAGTCCAGAAAGTCACATCCAGCTATAAACTCCAGCAGAAGAATCAATTCCAACTGATGCTGCATCATTAATAAAACAGTCATAAAAAATAAGGTATTTTGTTTTCTATTCATATTGTATGTGTTTTCCTCAGTGGTGAAACTTCTAGAAGAGAAAACACTGAAGCTGAACACTGAACTTTCTCACCTGGGCTGTCCACTCTCTTGTAGTGGTAGGGATTGATGCATACGTCCTTCTGCTTGGAGCCGAAGGGATACTCGCAGCATTCCAGCGCCTTCAGCTCGTGGTGGGACTGCAGGTCGGGCCAGCGCCACACCCGGCAGTAGATGACGTGAGGCAGACCTTTTCTGTGGGACACCTGCAGCCGTCCGTCCAGCGAGCGAGGGATGGTCACACAGTTACTGGGCTGACCCGGGCAGCTGAGGGCCCTCTCCAGCTCCTCCATGGCTCCCTTCTTCTTCTTCAACTTCTTCACCAGAGCATCCACGGCTTTTTCCGCCCATTTCTCCTCCTCATCGCCCTGCTTCCAGCCCAGCAGCCGTTTGACGGCCGGGCTGGTGAAGGAGAAGAGCGAAGTGACGTTCATGCTGCCTTCCTGCACTCGCCTGAAGAAGCGTGAGCAGCAGTAGGAGGTCGTCCAAAATTAGTTCAAAGAAATCTGACGGATTATTGGAGCTTTTTTTAAATCCAGATGCTTTCAAGGCTTCCAAGCTCCTCTGTACTCCTCAGAGTCCCTGCAAGAAAAACAAAGTAAAGTTAGCAAAAGATAAAGTAATAGGCTACCTGCCTATCTGACTAGTCATAGCACCACTATGGACAGGAAGGCCTGCCTCTGCCACCCCCAGATTGAAGCAGCACAAGTATTTCATGATCTATCATGACTTGGATAATTAGATTCCAGGGATCTCACACTTTAACATGAAATCCAACATGGCTTTTCAGGACCAGTTCCTTCATAATCATATCCACTAGCATAAACCACAACTTAGCTTTAGCATTACCTGACCTGGCAACAGTTTGTCAGGAGAGCTGAGGAGCACTAGTGCACCACTGGCTGGCGCTAAACTAGTTAAACTAGTAGCCCTAAGCTTTAAATGTAGCCCTGAGATGGAAACTATCAGCAGCGACTAGAAGAACCTCTACGCCTTTTCATTCTCAGCCAAACACTGCAGTGTGACATCATCTATTTTTATGACACATGAACCTGCAGCCAGGTTTAGTGTACTTAGTGTAAAAAAATCGAACAATTAAATTTTTTTGACACAACAAAGACATTAAAATACAATTTCCTTTGTAAAATAATAAAATGTTTATTTTAATCACTAAATAATTAACAGGATAAATGGGTTTAATTAGAAGACGTCTTTTTCTATACTTCATTTTAAGACTGTAGATACTGTAGAGGAAGTCCTCCCTCTGCATTTTAGTATGCAGCTGGTCTGTGGCCTCTGATTTAAACAAACCCCTGGTGCTTTTGGTAATGTGGTTCAGATAGGTGCAGTTCATTGAAAAGATGCACTTTGAGCCCATATACAGACAGGAACAGGGAAACCGGCCGCTGGTGGTGGGGGGTGGGAGGTTGCCATGGGTGTGTCTACTTACTGAATGTAACCGCTGTCAAACAATCAGGAAATAACATTTGATTTATCTGATTAATAACAGTGTTATCAGGCTGGCTCTATATCACTCTATGTCTCAATACCAAAGTTCTCCCTCTCTTGTCATTGGACACAAATCAAGTTTCTATTTTGCATAGATTGTGAGTCAGATTTAGATTGGAAGCAGGTACATGAAATGACAAAGTGAGAACACACACAGGTAGATGATCAAAGTTTAGTCTGTGAATCCACGTTTAGAGACTTGTCAGGTTTTCTGTAGAGGTTTGACTGAACTCAGTGCCTCTTTCTTTCTCTTGCTGCACCTGAAAATCCTCAGGATCCTGTGGCAGATATTCAATTTCAGTTCTTATTTAATTTCCATTATGTGTTATGATGACAGGATTGTGTTATTTTAACTGGTGTTGCACCGATACCATTTTTTTGGCCCCGAAACCTGGCTGTGCAGTATCAGCCGATATCGATACCATCTGTTTGAAATTGATGTGTGTATATCTGAAGAACTACATACTACGTGGATGTAAAATAATTGCCATCATGGCTTTGTCAAGCTGCTGCCTTCCTTTGTGAAGCAGGAAAAAGACTAATACAAAATTAATCCAATCGAACTACCTGGAATAGGTGACAACAGTTGAATAAACATCGCTATCAAAATGGTATCGTGCCCTATTTGTTGGCTGGATCGGGGCCCTGCCCGATACTGGTATCAGTGCAACACTAATCTTAATTGCAATGTTTTTGTTCCTATTATGTGTTCTGGGTATTTGAGCATGATTAAACAAGCCACCTTTAATATGACTATGAATTTTGAAAATATCAGGGATTGTGGTTGCGTCAACCCGGTTGGGATACAGAAGAGGGTACATGGCTGCTGTAGAAAAACAGCAGTTTTGATCCTGTAGTTTTATTTTCAAAAGGATGATCCCTTTAGCTTAAGGTGTTTGCATGAAGTCTGTCAACATGCTGAGGAAGCATTCAATCAGTGATCCGTCACAGCCTGCTAGGCTAAAAATGTCCAGGTTGATAAAGCAGCTAAAGAACCAATAGCTAGACGGTGAGATATGTTCATGTTAGATAGCAACATTAAGAAATTCCAGTTTTTATTTTCAAAGAATCATTTTTGCGATGGTTAATGCAGCTTAATCCTTGCTGTCAATGTTGTTTGATCTGCAGCAGGTAGATGTTTAATTATTGGGTCCTTTAAAACAAAGCTTGCATCCTGAAATCTGCAAATGACTGGAATCCAGCCTGGACAATGTCGCACGCATAGATGCATCTGCTGTTACGTAAACATGAACTATTCTGTCTACAAGGAATGCAGCCAAGAAAGGACCAAAAGTAAAGACACTTTGGCAGCAAACCCAAGAAAAATTCAAAAACTTTCAAGGCAGTTGTCTTTTTTTTTGGTATTCGTTTAAAATGTTGCTTGACCTTGAACTTACAAACTTTCAAGGATTTCAATGAGAACTCTGAGCTCGTAAAGCACAAAACTTTACACAAGTCATTAAAAGTAATTAAAAGCTAATTTCCAAACCAGTTTTTCAGTTAACTTCACAACCTCGGAAAGCAGCTTGCAGATTTATGGAGCGTCATTTTTTTTTTTTTTATCCAACATCAAATTGAGCTTCAGTTCAGGGATAAGGAAGGGACAATAAAAGGGAAGTGACGTGTAGACCCCTGGACAGATGATGATGATGATGGTGAGGAAGGGGAGGCATTAAACATCATTATGACTGGTTATTTTTGGTCTGGCATATCATGGGATGTAGAGTGATTTCTATCTTTCTCATCATTTCAGAGACGTCCGACGGGAACAGAAGCTAGAAAATCTGTGCTGAAATAGAAACCTGGAAAAAGTGCTCATAACCACTGATTCAGCCGATTACCAACAGCTGTGTGGTAATCAGATTTATTTTAGTGTAGCAGTTTTAGAAAAAAAGAGACTAGTGTAAAACCGTTTATATTATATATATTTCCTGCTTTGTAATCCTGGGCAGAATCATAGGAAAACGGAGCAGGTCTTTGCTCTCAGAGAAGCAGGCAGCTCTAGCTGCTGTCGCTAAACACAGCAAAAACAAAGTGAAGATTTAAATTCTGTCTAACTGATCTCCAATATCTGCTGCTGCTATTCTTTTTTTCTCCAGTTACAAAATGGAAATGACACAATCATAGCAAACATTTAATCATAATTTAAACATAAAAGACATCCTTATTAAAAATAGAAAAATAACAATGGGCAGAGGATGGAGGAAGCTTCACATGATCGAGGCATGGCTGCTAAATGCACTGTCTAGTCAGGGGAAAACAAAACACACACAAACCTGAGGCCACCTTTGGTAAATTGTTTTACACCAAATGGAACTTTAGCTCCAAATGCAATATTGATGCATTCAAGCAGCTCTACCCAGTTATAACATGACAGACTGATAAGATTCCCACACCGCCTCCACCGTGCATCCCTTACCCTAACGTTCTCCCTGGATATGATTGCTAAAGCATCTAAGTAATGTTCTCAACCACCTTTCATTGGAGAGATGCAGTGTTTATAGGGTTTATACAGGAATGAGTACCTTTAATTTAATGCTTTTTAATGCTCTTAGAAATAATTTTAAAGCCATCAATAGGTACCCATGAGTCTCATATATATTACACGGGAAAATCCTTGTCCAGCCATGTCCAGAATTCCTCGTTTTCCAGCCACTTTTGTTGAAATTGGCATTTTCCCATTCTCTACCTTTTTCCTCCGCCTTGACCTTCTGTTCCGCACATACGGCTTTACGATCAACCAAAAGCAGTTCCGTGCAAACACGCAGAACATGTTATATCTGACGAAATTGTTTTCATGAACATTTTGTTATTTTTAATAAAGCATTTTGAATGCCACGGTATAGTCAATGAATTTTAATGCCAATTAAGGCCTTAATTTAAAAAACAATAATTTAATGACTTTTAATTAGGGATGCACGATATAATCGGCCCCCTATCGGTATCGGCCTGTATCGGCCTTAAAACTGAATATCGGACATCGGCCACCCCACCGATATTTAACCCGATATTTGATTGAGTTTCTAAAGTCTAAAAAAAAAAAAAATACTACTTCTTCTTCCTCCTCAAAAACTTCTTTTTTACAGACTTAAAAACTTCTAAAGACGAGGGAAAAATATTGATACATTAAAATATCACAATATCTTCATATGCTGATATATTGCCATTTAAAACACCATATCAATCTCTTTTACTAATGAAATATTGCTATATGTCATCGTTATGCTACGAAATCCCCCGAAAATTCACGAAATTTTGCCATATTTTTATATGTTGATATATTGATGCGGTATCGATCTATTTTACTAACAAAATCTCACAAGAATTTGCAAAATATCTAATAAAAAATATCTATTTGATATCAGCATATGAAAATATATTTGAGTATATTATTTTTCAAAGTGTCAGAAATGGATAACAAAACTGCTATTTTCAATGACTACTTATTTTTGTCCAGCTTTAACATCAGTATCGGTATCGGTTATCGGCTACATGAGTTTTAAAATATCGGTATATCGGATATCGGCCAAAATCCCAATATCGTGCATCCCTACTTTTAATGATTTTTAATGACCCTGGTTTAGGTTTGTTTACTGAAGCTTTCCAGCAAAAGTTGAGGCCATCACAGAACAGATCTATTTATACTAAAGCTGCACAACAGGTTGAGCTGCAACCATAACTCTATGAATGTGTGGAAACTGTTTGATTTGCAGTCAAAGAATTTACAAAGGAGCCAATTACAGGTTTGACTTACTCTTTGGTATTTCACAGTAAGCATCCTTAAAGAAACTCAGACTGAAAGACAAACAATACGAACCTTCAAACAGCAGATTTATTGGTTCACTTCTTTTTAATGTGTTTCCAACACTAAGAGATTTGAGAACATCTCTGCTTTGGAGGGTGAAAAAGCAGATTTTTAGATTCTATAGGAGAGAAAAACACTTTGCAACTATTGCACAAAATGACTCAGAAAGATGTCAGGTTTTATGATGAGGCATTACGGCGACATCCTGCTGCTAAACACATACTTCTATGGCTTCTCAAA